AACCTTCCTGAGCCTGTTTCCTTGTCTGTAAAATGTGCCTGGTGAGGTTGCAGCAGGGGTTACGTGAGATGGTTGGGGAAAGCAGACAGCAGCATTCCCAGTGCGAGGGAGTGATGGTTACTCTGGCAGCTCCTCCCTCGTCTCCTCTGGGCTGCACCTCACGTCAGGCCCCCAGCCTCTCGGAATGATAATCCCAGGCTGCGCTTTCTTGGAGGGAGCTTGGAGGTGAGTGTGAGGAAAGGCAGAAAAAGCTGGAGGACCAGACAAAACACAGAGCTTACTGCAGCCATTTTTAAGTTCAAGTTTATTGCCTTTTCTGAGTTGGACAGCTACACATGTGTATCCAAGGACATCAAAGAGTGGGTGGGGAAAAGTCAGTTTCTCCCTGCTATTCCTGTCCTCCTGCCACCTGTTCTCCTACTAGGAAGCAGCCCTGATGAGCACCTTCTTGTGTCCACACCCAGAGATCTTCCATGTTTACACAAAGTAAAGTCTACAGATTTTTTTAGCACAAATGGCTGCATATTAGCGTACTATTCCACACCTTTTTTTTTTAAGTGTAACAATATGCCTTGGTGATTGTTCCATGTCAGAACATAAAGATCTGCTTCAGTCTTTTTCACACTCGCATAGTATTCCATTTAGATAAGTATCCCATCCTTTCTTTAAGCAGCTCCATTTGTGCTGTTCTTAATGTTTTTGCTATCTCAACCAGTTCTGCAATGAGTCATCTTATACACTGGCACATATATGTAAACACACCTACAGAATAAATTTCTAGGAGGATCACTGTTAAGGCAGTTGGCATATACATTTTAAGTCTTAATCAGTATTGCCAGATCACTCTCTAGAGAGTACCAGTTTATCCTCTCTTGGCCGGTGGGTGAGGTGCCCGTCCTCATTTCCCTAAGGATGACAATAGGTCATCAGATGTTTTTCCTTTTTTTCTAATCTGACATGATTATAGTTTTAACCTTCATTTTTTTTATCATGAATGAGGATTTGCCTTTCTTTCTACACTTAAGGTCTATTTGTATTTTCTTTTCTGTGAACTCTCTCTTCATATCTTGTGAGCACTTTTCTATTAGGTTGTCAATGTTTTTGAGTTGATCTGTGTTTTTATGTCCAGGTATCTAACCTTTGTGACCTGAGTTAGAAATATTCTTCCCACTCTGGCTCTTGGCTTCACTTACAGTGCTTTCTGCCTCTCAGTCTTTTTGTTTTTATATGGTTGGGTCAGACTTTTATTTTACAGCTTCTGGATTATGAACTGTAGTTGGAAAAGCCTGCCCTTCTCCATGGTTGGAAAGGAATTTTCCTCTAGGATTTTTATGACTTTTTTTAACATGTAAATCTTTGATCCTTTTGGAATTTATCCTGGTTCACACAGGGGCATGGATCCAACTTGACTTTGTCCCAATAACCACAAGTCTGCCTGCCGCCCTCTGTTAATAGCAGCTCTCTTCGCACCAGTTTGAGGGGCTCACGTGGCAGGCGGGTGGGCAGATCACAGCCCAGAAGGGGCTTTGGATCCGGGGCTTTGTCCTAAGAACAATGGGAAAATGAGGAGTGGGGGCAGGAGTGCCTTGATCAGATTTGCATCTTGAAAACGCCACTCTGGTCCCAGAGTGGAAACTAGAGTGGCGATGAGTCAGCATATTTGAAGCCATCTCTCATCCCAGGTGTGTCCCCCTCATTGCTAGTGGGTTCCAGCTCCTGGGTCTCCAGCCCAGGACATCTTTGCACTGAGTGTCCCCCTGCCTGGTGCACATTTTCCCGGGAATCTGCACAGCCAAGTCCTACACTTCCTTCAAGCCTTTGCTCAAATGTCACCTCAGGATGACGTCTACCCTGACCACCCCATTGAATACTCCAATCTGCCCCCCTTGGCACTAACAGCTCCCCCTTACCCTGCCCTGCTGCCTGTCTCTTTCCACGACACTTACTGCCTTCTAGGCGATGTACACGTTTATTATGCTTACTGTGTCTCAGCGCTCTCCCTCACCAGAAGGTAAGCTCCTTAGGACAGGGATCTTTGTCACGGTCATTGATGTATCCCCTGTGCCCAGAATGGCATCTGGCAGAGGGTGGGTGCTCAGTGAATGTCTGAGTAAAGAGTGACAAGGGAGATCCACTAGGAAGCTGTAGCAATAGTCACGAGGTGGTGGTAACATGGATTAGGGTGTGGTATTGGAGAGAGACCTAAGTGGACGGATTCCAGAGGGACAAACAATGGCTGTGCTGATAGATTGGGGTGGGCGTGGGGGGAGCGTGTGTGGAGGTGGAGAGGACTCATCATTTTCCAGTGCACCAACCGGGTGCAAAGGGATGTCATCCACAGAGACCAGGAACTGGAGAGGAGCATGTGTGTGGGCAGAAGATCGTGAGCGTGACTGTGCATGTCTGCTTGAGGAATCTTGGGATTATTCAAGGGTAAAGGGCAAGTAGGCAGCTCAAAAAGGGAGCCTGGGCTTCCAAGGCACCGTCGGGGCTGGAGATACACATTTGGAGCACTTCTGCCTCGTGTTGTCATGAGCATGATGAGATCCTCGGAGAAGATGGAGGGAGGAGACCGGTGAGCAGAGACCTGAAGAGAGGAAAGCCTAGACATGCACCCTGAGGAGCCTCAGCCTGTGAGGCTGGGAGAGGAGCCTGAGTCAGCTGAACAGCCAGGGAGTGGGAGGAACCAAAGGAAGGGAGTGCTCAGGGGAGGGCGCAGTCCACAGTGTGGAGGGTGAGTCAGGGGAGGAGGAGTACTTGCCGGGCTTCCTGAGGTGGAGGCAGGTCCCTGGGGACAGTGAGAGCCATTGTGGTGGAGTGATAGGAATGGAATCCAATCTGGGGTCGCGAGGTGAGTGGAAGATGAGGACTGAGAGGCAGTGAGGGTGGCGCACCTCCAGCAGGGGGGCTGTGAGGGAGAGAGGATGGCTAAGGCAAGAATAGACGGGGTGTGGGGCCAAGGACAGGCTTTTAGTCGGAGGCATTGGAGCCCATTTCAGAGTTGTTGGGAAGGGTCTGCTTGAGAGGATGGGCTTGACTGCCCAGCAGAGAGGGAGCGGCGGGTGCAAGCAGGTCCAGGGAAGGTGGAGGCCACTCAGCCCCTCTGAATTCACCTGAGAGGCATGGAGAGGAGGCCGGGCACAGGTGCACGCACGTGTGTGCGTGTGGCATCAGAAAGGTGGTGGCGAGTCCATCCAGTGGCTTTTCTTTTCTTTGTAAAACAGGGAGCGAGGTCGTTGGCGGAAAGTGCAAAGCAAGCTGTATGGATGTCCGAGTGGCCAAGGCCCTGCCCCTCCCCTAGTGTAGTCCTAGGAGACACACAGCCCCCCATGTTACCATTCTTGGGTATTAGTACCATCATACACCAGTTTTTCAAGCCTAAAATCTTTGTCTCCTCTCTCTCCTTCCTCTAAGCCCCATGCACCCCCCACGTCCACCGCCTGCCATTAAATCAATGAGCAAGTCCTGTCTGTCCTCACCAATGAGGTTTCCTGACCCTCACCTCTCTCCATCTCCACTGCCGGCACCTGAGTCCGGGCCACCATCACCTGCATCCACTCTTGCTCCTTCGCATCACTCCTCCATGCAGAACCCTTCCGTGCCCCCCCATGCTCCCCTTTGAATCAAGCCCCCTGGGCCAGGACATGGAAACAGGCCCTGTGCTCTGGCTGGCCCTGCCTTCTCCCCAGGCCCTCCCCTACTGCAGCCCACTAGGCTTCCCACAGCCCCTCAAAAGCCCAGTGGTCTTGGCGTGTTCTGAGCTTTCCCATCTCTGCCATGCTCCTCCGCCCCCCCCACCCCCCACCCCCAACAGATCATCATCCCTCACCCTCTGGACTCAGCCTGCCCTCCCGTCCTGAGTTGGCCCAGCCTGGCTCGGGTCCCTCGTTACGTGCTGGGAGCTTCCTGGGCTTCTCCCTGTGTAATTGTTTTTTCAGTATCTATCCATCCAAGGAAAATTCTGAGTCAGAAATCTTGCCTCTTGCATTCACCACTGGGTCCCATTACTTGCCCCCAGAGGCACCTGGCTCATGGGTGGCAAGCCACAGATATGTGTTGGCTGACTGACTGCTGAGTGCCACCTCCCTGTGCCAGCCTTGCTCTCCAGACTGAGGTCCAGTGTCTGCCGGGAGCGGAGGAGTTACTGGTTTGGCAACAGCATGGAAAGTGTATAGAGTTTGAGAGTTGGGAGACCTCCTTCCAGGATGAGCCCCACCCCTAACCAACTATGTGGCCTTGGACTGGTCACTTCTTTCTCTCTGAGCCTCTGTGCTGTCATCTGTCAATGAGTATGTTCATCATACCTCTCACAAAGATTGTTGAGAAGGTCAAACGCAGTCATGGATATGCACTGTGTTTTGCAAACCATAAGGTGCAGACACCAGTGGGTTTCATAAGCGTTCTCTGTGAGTCCTCATCTGCCGTGGGATGAGTCTCAGCATTCTGCACCAGCCTTTCCTGCAGCTGCCACCTGTGCTTCCAGACTCATCCCCTTCGACTTCCCCATGCACACCCAGGCTCGGTGCCCCTAACCCCGGGGCTGGGCCACAGGCACTCCCGCACATCTGCTCAGCCACACACATCCAAGTGCCCTCAGGAGTGTCCTTCCCTCTGCCCCAAATGTTTTTTCCCCTGAGTCTCTCCCCTTCAGTAGAAATGAACTGACCCCCAGTGGGCACTTAAATTTGATCTTCAAGCAGGAACAAGTGGATTCCTACCCAGGCTGTCAAAACCCAACACAGGGAGCCCCAAGCAGGGATCAGCAGCATCCTCGTGAAATTAATGCATGAACTGATACAAGCAGGATGATCACTTCCATCCACACGCCCACCCCAGCCCCTCCAAGGACAAAGCCCTCCCTCTGCCCTGCTGCTTGGCTCTGGGGCATCAAAGTCTTACGAGGAAGGGTGGCCAGTAGCTGTTCGAGGTGGGGGCCGGCCTGGGCAAGGGGCCCCCTCTTCCTTTGATGCTGACATGGCTTCTCTGTTTGTGTTTTGCAGGTCCTCCCGTAAGTGTCCTGGATTATGCTCTCTGCTCCTGAAAGATAAGACATTTTGTTCTCTCTGTTGCACTTCCATGAAAATAATATTTGGTTAGAGAGGTGTGTCCTATTAAAAAAAAATCAGTCCTGGACAGAGGCCATATTTTTTTAAATTTGTAGATGAATGCCAGCACAGCATTCCATGGCTTGACTTGCCCCGGGAAGCGTTCTATGACCGCTTTCCTTCAAAGAGAGCTGCCAAGAGCCTGGCTGCTCCTCACCAAATCTCTGGCTCAACTTGGGGCACAGAACTGAGCACCATGCCCATATTTTCTAAGTGCCCTGCAGCAGGTGATCTGTTTAAATGCTTTTGTCTCATGTGCTTTGGCAGAAAGGGCTCTGGAGTCAGGCACTTATGCCGGGAATAAGTTGGGCTTGATCACTAGATCCTGGGGTCCATTTTCCTTCTTTGCCAAAATATGTGTGACTCTCTGAGTTGGGCAGCTGAGACCTCACGAGCCCAGCTGGCCAGTGAGGGCGGTGAGTTGAGAAAGGGGTGAGGGAGGGCTGGCTGCCCGAGACAGCATTGAACGCAGGGGATCATCAGTGGCCCCGGAGATCCCGTTCCTTCTCCAAGACATGTGACAAGTCTGCCTTTGATTCTTTGATTCGTCTTGGCAGTTTTTCAGAGCCTGATGAATCCAGACGAATCAATTCAAGAAGCACATTGACAGTCTGCTTGAGCCAAAATTAACCTTCTAAAGGAATTCCTTTCAATGAGCAGTTTTATTTTTGACTTCCATTTACCATGATTCATTTCCCGAACGGCACCCTTTGGAATCCGGGCTTCTCAATACTTGTAGCACTGCATTGAGCCAAAAAGCCAGCCAGCAAGAATGTGTAGATCTATTGGCCACAAGCAGTTTTTCGCTGTTGAGTCATTCCTGGCTGTCACATGGAGGCTAGCCTGTGTGAACTCGCTGAAGTGCGTAATACAGAGGGCTATGGAGTGGGTTTTTTTTTTTTTTTTTTGAACTTGGCTGTTGAACTATTAAGTGTATTAAACAAATGCAGAACGCCAAACCTGCAGCCTGAGGTGGATGCCAATGTGTGGGGCACTGGCCAGGCAGTCACTGCTCAGAGCACATGGGGCCAGAGAAACATCCAGTAGCGATAAATGCCCACCCCCTCATATCTCTGGCTTCCAGGGCTATCTTTCTCAGTTCACCCATCCCAGTGGCAACAGGCAGGAAACCCGTATCTGCTCTCCAGGCCCCTCAGCAGGTCCCCTGTAAGGAGCATGGCCCCATGTGTCCCGGCTGACACGGGGAGGACACGTTTAGGGGCATGCCCTGATGGCCCCTCCAGCCTGGCCCTATGAAGCGGGAAATGGGTGCTCTGTCCCCCAGACCGGACAGAGCCCTGGTGTGCCCCCTGAAGAAGTCAGTTACCAACTGCAAACCCCACAGAATGTGGGGGGATCTGGGGCCCTGATTCAGTGCTAAGTGTTGCCATATGGTTTTCTGCCGAAAGTCTGATTATTAATAACATATTAATTACCACAGGGGCAATCAGGACGAGATGGCTACCCGGTAATTTGCCATTTATTTTTTGCTCTCTTTGCCCTTTCTCTCAAGCCAGTGTTCTTCCTCTGAGCCCTTATTTAACTGTCTGCACTCCTCTCTGCTCTGCTCCTCGGGCCGCGGTCTTTCTGTGCAGGGACTAGCACTAGCGCTGTGAAGAGACAGGATGTGCAGAGCTGCAGGGCCGGCCTGGCAGGAGCCGTCCGCACAACAGCTGCCCTGCAGGCAAAGCAAAGAGGCTTCGAGAGGGTCTCACTGGCCTTCTGAATCCACCCACACTGCTCTCCTGCCCAGTGCATCCCTCGGGCCCAGGGTCCAGCCCTTGACTGTGGAGTGCCCTCCAGGCTGGCTTGGCTGCTGACCTCTTCCCAATGGACAGGGGACTCCTGTCCCAGCCCACCGTGTCCTGTCACCTCTCAGGAACAGGAGTCTGCTTGGTTCCAATTTGGCCTTTTTGGTGTCATCACTTCTCAGATCTTTTATAGTTAAACCTAAAAATTAGCTTATACTTGGAACCAACGTCCCCAGCGCGGGCTGGGTGAGCACCACATAGAAGCGGGATGAAGGCGGCTGTGCAGTATCGAGTCCTGCACAGAAGTTAGGACCATGACACGGCATCCAGAAGTCCCGATGCGTCAGAGCAGGGGTGAGCCCAGGGGAAGTAGAGTGTGGCAGCACCATCCTGTTGGGGACAGATTTGTTCTGTGCCTTCAGGCCAGGGAGATGCAGGCAGGGAGGAAAACGTTGATTGACTCAGAGGCCTGTCTAAGGGCCAAATGTGTCCCAGTCAGAGACATGGCGATGCAGGGGAGAGTCCTGCAGGAGCCACCTTCCCAGAGGCTGTGGAGGGCAGTCCAGCCCCAAGCAAGCGTCAGGGACCTGCGTGAACTCCAGCGCTGTGCCTCCTAGCTGGGTGTCCAAAGGGGAAGGGGAGTGGCAGAGTGAGTAGGTTTCTTCCCCCATTGTTGTCTCCTCTGAGCGCACGGTGACCCCAGAGTCCCTTCTCCCTGGCTGTGAGCATCAGAGAGGATGGTGGCTGATGGTAGGAATCATTTCTCCCATGTGAGGGGCAGGGGGCTCCAGACCAGCTGCAGGGGGTCCACCTCCCCCAGAGGCCTCTTCTCCCTCAGCCACCATTCCTGCCTTTCCTCCCAGGTCGGGGCAGGGTCGGGGTGCTTGTGGGCTCTGTGGGCGATGGTCAGGAGTCTGGGTGCACAGTTAGGCGGCCGGGGGGTGACCCACATCTTTACCACTCACTGGCTGTGAAGCCGTGGGCAAGCTCCTTGGCTGCCCTAAGTCTGTTTCCTTGCCTGTGAAGAGGAGAACGGGGGTTCAGGTGAAGTAAGGTCACACCTGCAGCACCCAGACACCATGAGTCACAGCAAATGGTGGTCAGGTTACTGGAGCCGTTATGGGGCTGTCAGGGAATTAAGCCTGAGGGCTAGTGTGTGTGAGATGCTTGTTGCCAAGCCTGGGCCAGAGATGGGGCTCGTGAATGTTAGGGTGGGGAGGCCACTGGATGTGCACACAGTGTGTCCACCTGGTGTGAAGTTGGAAGCTTCCTGGGAAGGAGGCAGGTTAGGCCCTGTTTGCAGGCAGCTCCGGCGGCCAGCACCCTTGGCCCTCCAGCTCCTCATCACTGGGGAGCGCTGAGCAGGCTGGGCCAGGGGATAGGGGAGGGAAGCTGGCATCACACCCACAGTTGCCCCAGGGCCGGTCACCCCTTTTCCTGAAGTCGCCCCGCCCCAGTTTGCACACACACCTCCGTCTCCATGCGGATCTGGCCATCTTCCCTTGCTGGGCTCTGCCCGCTGCTGGGTTCACGGCGTTCATGCCTCCAGTGCCAGGAGCCAGCCGGCTAGCCCAGCTGTGTGCCTCCAAGCACCCTCATCCCAGCATTGCTGCACGGGCCCTCCGTCTGTGAGGCCCACAGGGTGAGGGCGACACCCCACCTGGCGTTGGCTGCAGGAGGGAAAGCAGGCCCATGCCGGCAGGGGGAGGGTGGAGGGACTTGCGCAGGCTCTCGGGGCCCATGTATTTTGAGCTGAAATCCAGATCTCTTGGCCTGTGGAGGGCCTGGCTCCCAGCCTGGAGTCTGTTTACAGACAGCTCCATGTGGTCACCCCAGAGGTTAGGGCGACTGCCGCAACGCGAGGAGCCTGGGCCACCTAAGAGGCATCTTGTGTACAGAGAATCACGCGACCTTCCAGTCAGTCCGACCCAAGTCCAGATCTGGCTCAGCTGTGCGGGCTTGGGCAGGTACTCGACCTCATGGAACGTGGCGAGGTCACGCCCACAGAGCTGCAGAGCCCAGGTGCAGCGCGGTGTGCGGCAGCCCCTCCATGCTGTCGCCGTCTCCTCACGGCGGAAAGCCTCGAGGGAAGGAAGGACGGGCTCGGGAAATCGTTCTAATCCACCGGCACACATGGGCAGCATTTGGAAAGGCAGGCAGCTTTGAGAAAGGGCAGTTTGGTAGATTTCAAGACCAGCCTCAGGGAGGATTTTCTTTTCTTTGTGCTAAAAACATGCCACTTCATTAGGCAGAGTAAAAGCAAGAAAAGAGTTGCACGGGAGGGTGGTGGTGGAGACTGTGCTGGCTGTGTGTTCTGGATTAATCCAGGCTATCCCCGCCCGAGTGAGACCAGCTGAAACCGGGTCCACGTGTGGCCCGATGAGGGTGGGGGGACACACGGGCATAGGAGCCACCCACGTCCGTGGGACAGGTGGTGGACTGACAAGGCCAGGTCACCTTGTCCATGGCCTCCTTGTTCAGAGGCGGTCTGTCCTTTCTGCTGCAAGGGTTCAGTAATAGCTCTCTGCCGATGACAAAGGAAGCGTGTTTATTATAAAACCTTCCCAAAATAGAGAAAAGCACAAAAAAGGAAAAACAGTCATCCATAACCCTACCACCCACAGATAAGTCCTCTCAATATTTTAGTATTCGTTCTCCCAGCATTTTTTATGTGCAAGTTTGCTTTTATTTTTATTATTCTAAAAATGGGATTACAGTGGACATACTTTCTTGTAACCTGTTTTTTTCACTTAATATAACATGAGATTTTTCCATATCATTAAGAATTCTTATAGAATGTAATAGCTACATAGTATTTTATCAGATATATTGTATTGTATATAATTTATTTAAGCAGTCTCCAAGTTATATTATCTATATGGACAATTTTTCACCCTTATAGTCAACATCCTAGGAATAAATGGAGGCTTATTTCCATGATTACCTCCTTAAAATAAATGTCTAGAAGTTGAATTGCTAGACCAAAGGGTTTGCACATGTGTGAGGCTTTTGACGTGTTTTGCCAAATTGCCTTCCACAAGGCTGTACTAATTTACATTCCCACCAACAGCATATGAAGGCTGCATGTTTCCCCAGGCCCTGGCCACCTGTGGGTATTATCAGACTTTTAAATCTATGCCAATACAATAAGTTTGAAAATATATGGGTATATGTATGTATCTTGTTTTAATTTAGGGTATATTTTCATTAGAAGTATGATTTTATTTTTTATTTTTTTGTGAGGAAGATCAGCCCTGAGCTAACATCCATGCTAATCCTCTTTTTGCTGAGGAAGACCGGCTCTGAGCTAACATCTATTGCCAATCCTCCTCCTTTTTTTCCCCCAAAGCCCCAGTAGATAGTTGTACATCATAGTTGCACATCCTTCTAGTTGCTGTATGTGCGACGCGGCCTCAGCATGGCTGGAGAAGCGGTGCGTTGGTGCGCACCCGGGATCCAATCCTGGGCCACCAGTAGCTGAGAACGTGCACTTAACCACTAAGCCACGGGGCCAGCCCAGAAGTATGATTTTAGAGATTAAACCAGTTTTGATAAATTTCTGTAATTCTAACTGCCTCCTGGTGGTGATGATTGGAATTGCAGGCACAGAGTTGAAAGAGGAAATCACCAGCGTTTGAGAGCTTTCAGATCTCAATTGATCCAGGGACAGCAGACATCATGGTGTCAGCAGCATAGGGGGAATTTTGAGCTCAGACCATTGTGAGTCCAAGTTGGGACCTGCAGAAGAGCTCTGGGCACAGCACTCTTCGTTTTGGGGTAGTAATCAGCACTGATGTTGCTAAAGTAATTTTGCCATCTTATAAACAGGAAGCTTGGCTCTGTTCAACAAAGCTGGAAGATGTCATGCCCTGTGCTGGGTACTTGGGTGGCTCAAAGAGGGATCAGACCAGTTGCTGTCTTTGGAGAGCTGTGGGGAAGGGGCCAGCACAGCCCATTTGCTATGGGATGGAGAGGGAGGAACGATTATGGGTCACTGTGATCTTCCCTGAGGTTTCTTATCATGACCCCTTCTTCCTCTCCAAACTGTGGCTTCTCGCTGACTTGAAAAGGCTTGTCTGTCGTGCAAGGCTCAATCTTGCATACACCTTGACTTTTGCACAGAAAACAAGACCCTCTCATCATCCGCTATTTACAATGTCAAAACCTTCACTTCTCCTCTTTGTTGGTATTTTGACTTCTGACTCTTACCATTGAACTTTAGTGACTTTCTGGTTTGTTTTACACCTTCAGAATGCAATTTAAACATTTCTTGAAAAATGAGTTTTTGGTAACATCTTCCAGGACTTAAGGTGTCTGTGCATTTGAACGTGTGAGGAGAGTGTTAGGCTGTGAGGCCAGAGACGTGTGGAGATGGTGAAACCCAGTGACTGCCAGGGTGCAGAAGCCTGGGGCTTGGGGGAGCGGGCCCACCTCAAAGACACCTCAGTCGTTGACTCTGTGCCAGGTGCTTTTCTGGGTCTCTGGGCCAGCAAGAGGGACAAGGCCTCTCCCTGTGGTGGGGAGGAGAGAAACAAATAAACAAGAAAGCTTCAAACTGAAATGTGCTAGAAAGAGAATACAGCAGAGATGTGAGGAGGGTGCTGACTAGGTGGATGGATAGGTGTAATTTGGATTAAGTAATCAGAAGCCTCTTGGGAAAGGTGACATTTGAGCTGAAACTTAAATGATGAAAAAGATGCAGCGATCTTGGGGGAGA